AAATTGGTTCGTTATATCGAGGGTACGCTATATTGAAAACCTTGATTTAACGAGTTTGCGGAAAAACAACCAAACTGTTTGTTATATCGAGGGCTTGCTAATAATTATTTTTATCTTATTCCTTTTTTTTTAATTATGATTATTTTTGGGTGTGACGTCGCGCTATCTAGCATTTTGGGATCGGAGCAGCTTGTATTGAAATGAACCCGCTACAAGTCCCCTAGGTGTGGACATTTCGGCTTATCGATTCAAGTTGCATTTTTAGAAGTTTGGAAATGTGATCTGAGGTTATCATTGTCATTAAACCATACAAACATTTTATTTCTTTTCATGTGAGTTTCTGAGCTTCATCGGAATTAATTTTGACTTTCACAAAGTGGGAAGGGCTAGCATGAGAGACTACTTCCGTTCACGGTCCACAGTGCACCTTCCGTCTACGGTCGACAAACAAAGCGCGCACACGCTATATTATGAAATTCAGCTACTTTGCTCTCTTAGCAAAACGTCTATCAAATGAATAATTCAATTCGCAGTTAAAACTTTTGTTTCTCCGATAATCTTAAAGAGCGTTGACTTGATTTCTTTGTGAGTGCTATTTGATGGAGGATTTCTTGCTACAGTATGAGAATGACTGTTTCTTCAATGGAAATTTTGAACTCAGACTTCATCTTGGAGAAGAGTGCATTTACAAGGAGCGATTGTCAAAGAAGTCGAAAATTATAGTTGTGGTAAATAAATTCAAACTATCATTTCAAGTAACAACATGAATTTTATTCCAACTTCTGATGATATCGAATAACGTCCTGACAGTCGTATGTGGCCTATGTGAACGTCACTGGAATCACTAAAAGACATCATAGAAATAGGGGCCTTCATTTTCATTTCTCGTAAGAAAATCAGCCGTTCGTTAATTATTAATTCATGAGATAGCGTTGATAATTAGTCGGCTGGAGAACTTTAGCTAACTTTGCTTTTAGCGTGAGTCAACTACGTCGAAAATAAAAGGTTTTTTACTCTCTTCAAAGATTGTTTTTACAATTTACGGCTTTCCAGTCCACTCGCTCAGTCAGTCTTTCTTATTGCTTATTACTGCTATTAAGTTCTCCAAGTTACCCAATGATCCTCGCAGGTAAGCTGTAGTTTACGAAATTGCAGAAAAGAAGACTGAAAAAATTCAGGCGTCGACAGGACTCTAACCCTCTGGGCGCGGCTATCAACTGAGCCACACATCGGAAGCTGGGCAAATTCTAACAAGGGTTCTTCTTTTCCGTGAAGGAATCTGATCAATATCACGTGTTCCGTTGGATTGTCCTTACATTAGCTATTCTCATAGTTTATTTTCTCTTTACCAACGTGACGACCTTATTCTCCTAATAAATATTTAGCTCAATTTTTTCACTTGCCTTCATCAACATGCGTTAAAGGTCTGCTGCATTAATACTATATCTTCCTAAATAGGCTCACCAAGGTTTGCTCCGAAACACAAAATAAACGTAAACATTTTAGTCATTCAGTTTGGTAAACAACGACCCCTTTTAACCTTTTTTATTTCTCAGCACTGATTTGAAATTGAAATGAGTCAGTTTTTTTTTCCAATTAATTCACAGATTTGTAAAAATCAAAGTGATGCTGTGATATGTACATTTTTGCGTCTTCCTATGAGAATATTAGAAAATGTTAAACAATCAAGCTCAGATCTCTCAAGGAGAGTGTGGGTCACCGCTTATAAAGGGGACGCTCATTGAGCTGGCAATCTCTAACCTTCGTCATCCTCTTACACTTAACTAGCGAATCACGTTAAGCTACGTAGAACGGAGTAAGCATACTAAGTAGATACCTTCGAGATGTTTATGCTTCACAAAATCATTCTCTGCCTTAAACTTCTGACACTTGCGGTCAAGGTTGGTCATAACTAAAACAAGGTTGGTAATATAAAAGTTATTACGAACTTACTAAGAGAATTAAAAGCATAGTTGAGGAGATATCGTAAGAGAAAATAGTCTTCGAAGACTATTACATAATAACAGAATAAACAGTAAATTCCGAGAAGAAAGGGCTTACCCAGGGTACCGCCTCCAAGAGAGCTACGTGCTATTCGCATAAGTTTCCTGATTATAAATTCAGTGCGGAGGATGAAAAGTACTGCATGTTTACACCTCAAGTCACCTCTAAGAAAACGAGGTGTCGAACGTGTTAAAATAAGACCGCCAAAAGGAATAAGAAATGATCAACTGGCTTATTATAATTTTTCACTGAATGGCTTATGATAATATATTATTTCCATTAATTTTCAACGTTTAAATAGGTCAAAAAACACCTATAATGAAAATTCTTGCTAGATGC